CTAACAAATGACTGAATTTGATAAAAATTTAAATGCTTATTATTGTTTTTTCCTATCTCCGACGTATTAAGTTTATACAAAAAAAAATTATTTATATTCACAAATTTTTTTTTACTTTTTGAAAAGATTAAAAATTAATTATAATTTGAAAATTTAAAAAAAAAGGAATAAGTTATAGAGAAAAATATTATAGGTCGTTTTGATATATGCTTCAAGATATTTATATAGGAATTTTAAGAATAATATTTTGTATATCTTTACGTTATATGTAACATATAATATTTAGTGGTTTTAGGGCATCAAATTCTTTAAAATTTATTCTTTTTCGCTAATTTTTGAACTCAAGGAACGTTCAACTTCGTTTTTTTTTCAAATGATGAAATATATTAAAAATTAAACAAATTACTGAAATAGGGGAGACCAGGGCTTGAGTAAGGGAATTGTCAGTTCAGCGGATTTTATTTAAAAACCAAACATGTTTAGTATAATTCAAATACTATTATGATAGCGTTGTATAATCTGTATATTTGAGGCGAAAAATATTTTATACTCCTCAGCTAGTTTTTTAGGTAATAATCAAAATTTTTTTACATCACAATATTAGGTAGGTTTAAAATTGACATTATATGAAATTTAAAACTTGTAACTAGGGGCTAGTAGAATCAGTGCTAGTCAGTTCAATCAAATTATGCGTACAAATATAATAATATAAAATAAGTATTCATTAACTGTTATTTTAAATTTAAATCAATTCTATATATATGATAATGCAATGGAAATAGGAAAAAAATTATTAAACATATTTTTTATAATTGAAATAATTCCAAATCAATAAAACATTATCCATAAAATAATGGAATAATAATATTAATTATCTTATAGGAAACTTAATAAAATAATTGAATCTTCAAGCCCCGGGTTTGGGGCTTGATGGTGTTAAAATTCAGTTTTACAGAATCAATCTTGAGAAAAAAGTATAAAATATTTTTAAAATTTATCAATGTATAAGGTTAGGTAGGTGTGTGAGCTATTTCTTCATATTTTGTAAATTGAAATTTTTATATACTTCGCCGGGAATTCGCCTTAACGGGGAATGCCGCGTAAGAGATATCGATTATAGCTTAGATTAGTTTTTAGTAAAATTTATTACGCCTATTGATAACCTGTTAAATCTGAAAGGTCATATGATTATAAATAGGCGAATAGAAATTTAAATAAAATCAGCTGTTGTAACGGCAATTTGCCTTATTTGGAGCATAATCACCAATTTTGTTCACCAAAAAAAGGTAATAAGACCGATTTTTTTATTTGCAAACAAGTTTGAATTCAAATTTAGACACTATATCCGTATTTTCCATGCACTTTATTTTCCATTTGCAGTAGAAATTTCCCATTCACTTCCTCCCCTTCTCATACGTCTGTGCACTCAGCTAGTGGCAGGAAGAGTTTAAATTTATGGGGATACTCTTTTAGTCAACATACTACATAGATCCATTTTATAATTGGATCATTGACTTAAGAATTGTAAGTTTCCGAATTTCCGTGGTCTTATGGTTCCAACCAATGATATATAATAATAACTAGATGGACGAATCCTTAATTTAAATGTGAAACAATACATATTAGATGTTGGCACGTCATTTTGGGTTTCCATTAACAAATTTAATCAGACTTTCACTTATACTAAAAATAATTTATACGGGAAACCAAAATGGATGACGTGTCAGCAGCTGATTTGCGTTCAGCGAATTTTCAAAATGGTTAATGAATTATTAGTCAGTGTGAGTATTATTTGTCATTAGGTTAGGTCAGCTTTACTTTTCTTACAAAAATTATACTTGGAATAGATCGTAATAAATTTTTTAAAAAATAAATATAACAAGCCAGGTATTATGGTCGAACTCACCATAATTGCCATTACAACAGCTGATTTTTAAATTTCTATCACCCATTTATAATCACATTACCTATCAGATTTGACAGTTCATAAAGAATGATATAGTTTTATTAAGAAACTATTTTAATATATTAACCCCAAACCCAAATCTATCAAACCTTTAGTAATAATCCTAATGCCTAGCCCATATCCTCTTGATATTTGTTTAAATTTAAATTTATTTTACCCAATTAAAAAGTCTTCAGTTAAATATTCCTTGAATTGAGCCTACCAACATAAGTGGATTGAAGGGTTACATGTCAAAACCACTAAAAAGAAAGTTTCTCAAAAGGCATTACCGCGAATGTCGATTAAAGCGAAAAGATTTCTACACAAAATTATTAACACGAATATTCTACAGCTTTAATAATTTTCAATAAACTAGATATGGAAGATTTACTGAAACTAAATATTTCACCGATTTTGATCAAAAATTTGAAACAATTAGAAAATTTATCACGGTGGTACTTAATTAGCTTTAAAATTTGCTACCTCTGCAGACTAATTCTACCTTTCTTCCTAACTTTCCTCCATTTCGATTGAGCCTGAGTGAGATCAAATTTCGATATCCAATTAAACCTCCCCTTTCCCCCCTTCGAAAATTTGAAACTTTAATAATTATTAATTATGTTTTGAAAACCAGTGATTAGTCAACTTTTTCAGGCCCATTTCTCGGTACACTCTTATAATGACAATTAAAGGTATTAGATATAACTAGTGTTGTTAAATGGCTCGTTTTGAGCCGATTTTTAAAAACGGCTAACTCAATATTTCGTCCAGAAAAATATTACGCAAGCCTCAATATTTTGCTCATAGAAGGAACAAAGGTCTAGGCATATATTATCGAAATCTTGAGACTTAGGCAATATTTTTTTGGCTAAAATATCGAGTTAGCCGTTTTAAAAAATCGGCTCAAAATGAGCCGTTTAACAACACTAGATATAACAATGCCCTTTACATCATTAGTGTAAGAATTATTACAAGATAATGAATTTCAAGTGCAGGCATGGTCTTAGCTTCTTCTATAAGTTAGCTTAGATTTCAAGGAAATTAAGTTGTCAACATAACATGATAATAAGCCCGAGCTATTACTACACATATCCCATTTGGACCCAATTTTTTTAAAATATTGGTAGGACATAAAGCTTGACGACTTAATAACCATCTCATGATCAAAATGACAAAAATCTTGCATGGGTATCATCTGCTTACTTTTTTTTATCTTCTAAATAATTATAATTGATATATATAATAGCCAAAATAATTATGAAAAACTAAAAAATTTCAATTTCATTATACTATTCCCATCCCATTATCGGAGTTTCCTTAAATTTTACTATTCAAATCTCTAGTGGTTTTAATCAATTACAGCATTTTCTTTAACATCGTTGAATATAAATCAGCTGGTAACGCCATATTTGCTTCACATATCAAAAATCTTTGATGGTTTTTTTTAAATATAAAATCATATAAATTATGTTTTTATTCTATAAGCACTTTGTACTTTCGTGTTGTAAAAAAACAACAGAGCTATGTTTGATTCCATACATGCCCTAAAAAAAAAATTTTGAAATTTTAGGTAAAATATGATCAAAAATCCTGTCTTGAACAACTAAAACAAAGACTAAAAATAATCAAAATTCGGTGGTAGGTTGAAAATTTAAAAAGGTCTTTCTTTTTACCTATTAAACCCTCAATAAATACACTAGTGGGGTTTTATGATAAACTCTTGTTAAACGGGCATAGATTAGCTAAAATAATATTAAGCAAGCCTGGAGATTTTACTCATAAATCTCGAAACTTACATAATTCGGCAGTTTTTAAAAATCGTCCCAAATCGGGCCCGTTTACACCAGTTTATAAGGACCACAAGCGTGTTAGATTTGATATTACATAAAAACGGTTAATTTAACAGTAGCGTCGTTAGATGGTGGAGAAGGTACTCGGGGTCTTAAGCCCACGCTGAGAAATTTGAAGAGTTCCCATAAATTTCTTTTCAAAATAATACCATTTTAAAAAAAAGTTTATTATGAAATTGCTAGCTTTGAAAAAAAAATGAACCTCATTTTCGAAAATATTATCAAAAAAAATAATAATTCTTGAGCCCCCCTGATGAGGCCACTCGTTATTATGATCTAGGATTTTCCGCAGCTTCATTAAATATATCTTGGAATATATATTCCAAATTACATTTATTTTTGTTGAATAGTTTTTTATTAAGATATAAACATTTCGTGACTGATTGGTAGTGATGTTAAATGGCTCCATTTGAGCCGATTTTAAAAAACGACTAACACAATATTTTAGCCAGAAAAACATTGTCTAAGGCTGCATTCAAAGTGGAGACGAATCCGTTTTTTAACATATGTTCCGTCAAAAGTCAATCTCATTAAAAATGATATTAAAAAAATTATAAGTTAACGTTATAATGCTATATAAAATTTGCCGGATCAAAAAGTCAAAATGTTTTGACTTCAAAATTTGCCGGATCCATTTTTAAGACGGAAGATATCGGAACGGACGCACTTTGAACATATACATCATTTTTAAGGAGATTGACCTTAGAAAAACGGAGTCTCCACTTTGAATGCAGCCTAAGCCTTGAGATTTTGCTAATATCTGTCCAAACCCTTGGGCCAGCTATGAGCAAAATATGAAGGTCTGCATTATATATTTCTGAGTAAAACGCTGAGTTAGCCGTTTTTTAAAATAGGCTCAAATCGAGTAGTTTAACAACACTATTGATTGGTGTCAATAAAATTCCACTAAAGTAAATTTTTAGAATTTCCATTTTATTTTGATGAATAAATAATCATTTTTATGAAATGTTTTATTTTAATATTACAATAATTCTATTTTTGTACTTGTTATTTAGAATTAAAAATTTTTTACCTTTTTTTTTTAGAAAATTTTGGCACAAATTATAATAATATTCTCAATATTTTATATCTAAATCATAATAAATTTAAAAAAAAATAAATATATAATGTTTAGGGTTATTTTCCTATATAAAAATATTTAAAAAAATTAAAAGAATGGATAGAAATGGAGATATTATTCATTTGAAAAAATTGGGATTTATTATACTGCCACAAGACCATTTTTCATTAGAATATTGAAGGAATAAAAGAAATAAATATCCTATTGAAAATAGTATAATAATAATATATATAATGGATTATCACACTGTTCTCGGGGGAGAGGGTAGGGGGAATTTACGATACTATTAGGTTATTAAAATTTAAAGGGGTTAACTCGAGGGGTCAATATTATATTTTAGCCATCGGTGAGGGAGCACGCTATCAGGACTGTGGACCTAAAAGCTCAGTAGTATTGATTAGATGCTGCTCGAAAAGCGGTGGATATAGGATCTATTCAATATTCCACCAATCGGAGTCCTTTAATTTAAAATTAAAAATACATCGTGTTTATTATACCATACGTGTATATATATAATATATAATTAAGGTTTAGAAAAGGGATACATATAAGATTATGAAAGCTTCACTGGTTAAGTTTGCTATAGAATATATTACACGTTGAAATTAAATATAATTGTGCGGGAGAATATGCTAACTATGCCGAAGACATGGGCAGGGTGGAGTTCTCGACGTCTTCTTTATTGACGAATTTGATGTGATCAGATGTTCCGGTATTCCAAGAATTTCGGCTACCGCTTCCGTGTGCGAAAGGGGAAGAAAATCTGATAAATAAGGGGTTCCCTATTTTAAATCTCTTGAAAAAGCCCGCGCCTATCACTAATTCTACGAAAACGATGATCGCGATTATCGCTAAGATGGTCGTTACCGCTATGATAGCTTTTGTCTTTTTAGAGGTTTGTCCGCCCGATTTTCCCTCGAAACCCATTATTTCTGCTCGTGGGGAAGAATAATTCTTAGTATTGCTTGCATTTGCCGACGAACGTGGTTGGCAGTCAGGCAGCAAGATATCGATAAGAGTTTTATTCAGTATGTTGATTTTGTTTAGACCCTTTGAAGGATTTGTACAAGTTGTCAATTCCAGTTTTTCCGGGAAAGTGAATAAGCCAGATGTTTCGTGGAACCATTGAGCCAGTGACATAAAATCACAGTCGCAGACCAGGGGATTTCCTAATACGCATATACGTAATATATTAAGTTTATATAATAATAAAAAAGAATTTAATAGTCTGTATTTATATTTATATTAATATAATATCTTAAAATCTGTCGTACAACTATATTATTAATAAATGGTTCTCGATTTAGACAATTTTAAAAATAAGATTTTAGCCAAAATAATATTATCCTCTCGAGATTTTGTTAATAAATGTCCCAAAACCTCTCTTGCCATCTTATAAGCAAAATCTCCAAGCGTTGCATCTAATATTTTTTTGGTTACATCGAGCCGTTTATGTTCCATTCCCGTTCATACTTTAAATTTTTTTTACAATTATTTAGTTCTATCTACTCTGGTTATTTGCCCGATTCATATCGGGTTGCTGCCATTTTTTTATAAGTTTTCGATTTTTTTTAACGAAAAATTAAAAACGTTTTAAAATTATAAAATTAAAAGTATATATTTAAAAAAAAATTGAATTAGAAACAAATTAATGAGAAATATTCTAAAATTAATCACTAAATAACTATCTTGAACCAGCCGTATTCAAGATAAGGGCTTTTATTAATTATGCATACGGCTATTTTACCTCTATATCTATTTAATACTCTGAATATATAAATTTTCTTACGAGATTGTATAGTAGGTTTTAGCTTACTAATTTTATCAGCCATATCACTCGTTTCTGGAACCCCTAGTTAGTTTTTTTTTAAATTAAAAAATCAAATTCTAAGGAGATGGGGGGGGGGGAGGGTTGTAATCTATTGAGCCGGGTGCATGGCATACCAGACAACAATCGAAGATAAATAATTAATTGCATGACTACCTTGTAACGAGATGGAATATATATGATGATTTAGTAATTCCAAATCCACTAATCCTTTGACGTTCGTTATATTATTGAAACGTAGATCTAAATGAGTCAAATTATCGAAATCCTGCAAACTTTGAAAGTCAAAGGTTTTTAAATGGTTGTATTGAAGGTCAAGGAAGTACAAGGAATGCTTGGCCGGCAATAGGGTTTTCATGTCGAACTCTTCCAGAGGATTCATGCTCAAATATAGTTCCTGAAGCTTAGAATTATTTCTGAAAGCATGAATTGGCACATTCCGAATTTCGTTCTTATCGAAGCTTAGGTAAGTAAGATTACTCAGTTTGGACAAGAGAGCGGTGGGCAGCGCCTTAAAATTATTTTGGCTGAAAGAAAGTTCTTGTAGGTTATTTTGAGAATCATCTAATATATCAGGTGGCAATTTGGAAAGATGGTTATCGTTCAGGAGTATTTTTTTAAGGACTTTACAATTAGCAAATACATCTTTGGTCAGGGACCCGTCCTTGAAATTATTTTGGGACAGGTCTATAAAAGTCAAATTATTGTCAATATTTCTAATTTCGGTGACGGCTTTATCAGAATTGCTATTATTTTTCTCTGCCATATTTTCTTTTTTGCCTCCAGCGATATCGATAGAAGAATGCGACGGCGAACACAGGGCAGGTAGGGATTCGAGTTGATTGCCAGATAAAACGAGATCTTCTAATTTAATGATCTTTTGGAAAGTGCCGGTCGGAATTTTCTCGATATGGTTTTTGGACAAATAGAGCTTCCTCATTTCGAGGCCAACCTCATTCAGAGTGGTGTTTTCGAGAGTAATCAGCATACCGGATTGGAAATATAAGTTCTCCAACCGAGGGAGCGTCACTATCGATTGCGGTAAGTAAGTCAATTTATTATTGAATTTTAATGTTTTCAAATTTTTCAGGGCTAAAAACCCTTTCGAATTCTTGATGATCTCCAGGTTGGGTAAGAACAATGTAAGAGTGCTCAGCTTGGGAAAGGAATCCAGGATAGAGGCGTCAAATTCTGATACCTCCGGAATTTGTAAATGTAGGTATACTAGATTTTTAAGAACTTTCAGGGCTTCGTAAATCATTCCCAACTTTGGCCCACTCATTTCCGGCCTGTATAAATTATCGATTAGTGACAGTGAAACGAGGCTTTGGGAAAAGGGTTCTAATGCATCCGGGGTTATGTTTTTAAACAGAGGATGATAGAGGAATAAAGACTGAAGGTTACAGGGCTTTTGTTGTTTGGAACCCCTCTCGGATGAATACTGGGTTATGGAGTCGAATCGGCTCTCTATCAAGAACAGGGTGATATTATGAGAAGGTTCGGTCTCTGTTAGGATTCGCATGGATTCTAGCAAATTATTTTGTTCGCGCATATATTCGCAAATCAAATCGAAATTTTTGACATTCTTTTTGATTTGTCCTACCATCGTGGTCGTCTCCAAGACTCTGCAATAGCAGTGCTTATTTTGGGGTAAAATGGGGCACTTTTCTTCCGAGACTACGGTGCCATCATTACTATTGTAGAGAACCCTGCCATAGCCTTTCTGCTCCATCACACCCACCAAGCACACTAAGAAAATGAACGATGATTTTTTCGATATCCTGATAATTGCCATCTTTCGTCAAAATAAATTATGTAAGTTTTTTTTTTATTATATAAAATTTATTTATTATATTCTATTACGATTACTGATTTTTTTTTAAGGAATAATGCCACCTTATTATATTATGAATGATGATGAAGATGAAGTTAAAATAAAAATTTTTTTTTTCACGGAAAACCCCCCTATATAAAAAACTAAACGTGAAAGAAATAATATATGATTATTTTTTTTTACAAGAAACATCTGTTTTGATTTCTAATCCTAATCTAAAAAAAAACAATATGTAATAATTATTTATACATGGAATTTTTTTTTTTATATATAAGGGTTGGTATACTTGTACTGAACAGAGATTTTCTTAGGCCCAACCAGAGTTGCCAGATGTCAAGATTTAGCATTGATTCTCACGATTCCATACCAAGTTTTCTACACAATCACGAAGAAACAAGGCGCTAATATTTTTTTTATTTGTGTAGAATATATTTTTTTTATAATAAAAAAAAAAATTAAAAATTAATTCGGGCCGGGCGGACAAATAATTTTTATTTGATTTCGGATCAGGCTTTTCGGGACAAATGTTTGGGATCGGGCCGGGCTTGAAAAATTAGATCCGATGCAGATCACTGATCCAAACCCCCCAAATCGAGTTCGTCATTTCTTACCCGAACTTCTATCGTACCCGAAAACCTAAAATACTCTTAAACCGTTTTTTATGTAATTTTATATATTTATCTATATACTATGTACAATTAAAAAATCTTTGATGGAGATATTTTTTTTTATTTAACTAGCTTGCGGGTGTCTCTGTCTTGAAAGAGTGTTTTTTGATATTTTTTTAAATTAATTCTATAATTGAACCTTAAATATAATTAATTTGAGATAACCCTTAAAAAATCAAATAGTTTTATATATTTAGCGGTTATTTCTATGTCCACTTTTTGTCAAAAATGACGTTACGTAAATCAATTTGTTATAATTATACCATTTTATTTACATTAAGAAATCCGAAATATTTATAAAATAACTCAAATTAAATCCGATACAAGGTTAACCATCCTATTGAAATCAATAGAAACTTAATTTTTTTTTCAAATTTCTATCCTGTAAAATTGCAATAAGTGGAGATAAAATATTCTAATTCTCAGGTGGCCATATATTAGAAAATTATATTAATGTGTATATATTGAATTTATTATAAAATTATTATCCAACCTCAGATTAAATTATTATATTATCCAACCTCCTAAATTCGTAGAGCTTAAACCACATTTGAACATTTTGAATTTTTATTTACACATCAATCATTTTTTTTAATTACCAAAATTTTATTTGACAATCATTAGAATAACACAAAATATAATTATAAAGTATGTGTATTTTCACAAATAAAAAACTATTAAAAACTCAAATAAGACAGAATTTTATAAAGATAAATTTTTTTTAACATTCATTTTCTATAAACAAATAAACATCGTAAATCTTAACTAAGGTCTCAGTAATTATTAGAAATATAAAAACGTTATAAAACGGAATTGTTATGAACTAAAACGTTAAAGGATTCTATTATACACTTAATATGGGAATGTGAATAAATAAAAATTATTCTCGAACTATATAGTAAAACGTGGGATATTTTGCAAATGTTTATTTAGCATCAAAATAAACAAAAATTAGCGATTTTATTCCTAAAATTAGGCATATACGATATTAAATTGATTATATTATAGCATAAAAATTTATGGAAACCTTTTTTTTTGGTAATTTAGCACGTCAATTACCTTATTACTTACCCCTCTAATTGTAATCTTATTATTCTTTGCTTGATGTACTTTTAATAGGAATTTCAACATTTCTAGGCAATCTAGAAAGATTTAATTAAGTTTCCTACATTTTTATATTCTAGTGTATATTTAACATTTTTTTTTCTCTTTAGCTTTCACCTTTTCTGGTGGTAAGCTCCTTCGACATCCCTCTCCACTTTATATTATTCATACAATCTCTTTTATCTAATTTATACTTCTTTATATTGGCTCTAACTTTATGGCCCGATTGAAGTTTTGGCCTTCCTCTTTTACGTTTGCCCATCACTTTCAAAATCTCAACCTTATTTCCTATGTAGTTCATAGGCCTTCTCATTGTGTGCCCATACCATTTAAGTCTGTTTACCATTAACTTAGTCTTAATGGGCACTAAAATTACTTAGTATTCTTGTACTGCGAACTTTACCCTTTCTGGGATCCTCAGCATTCTCATCTCCATAGTTTGTAGGCTTCTCTCGTTTGATTCCTTGGTTGGCCATGTTTGGAACTAGCACTCCAGATAAAGATCTCCACTTTAACCACCCTTGATTAATTTTACTCTTTATCTCTTTCTCTATTGTGCCATTTGTTTGTATAGTGGAGCCCAAATATTTGCAGCTTTCAATTGCCGATATCTCCCATTCATTTATATCAATACTCTCTGTTTCATCTCCTCAGCATATAATCCGTCTTTTCTCTATTTACTTTTAGTCCGTGCTTTTCTAGGATATTTATCCAACTCACTAATCTTTCTTTCATTTCATCCTTGGATTCGGTAAGTATCACAATATCATCTGCAAATATCATATTCCACGGGACTGTTTGAGGTATAAACTGTGCTAATACATCTAATACTGTAATGAAGAGAAGTGGGCTGAGAGCCGACCCTTGATGAACTCCTTCGGTTATTGTGTAGCCTGCTGAAGTACCTGGTGCTACGGACCACTGTTATATGGCCCATATAATATCCTGTATTATTCTTATATATTTTTCGGGAACCTTTTTCTGGCGTAGCGCCCACCAGATAATTTTTCTTAGGATTCTATCGAAAGCCTTTTCTAGATCAATAAAGACCATGTGTAGCTTTTTGTTCGTTTCCCTGTATTTTTCACTCATTTGCCTAATTGCGTGGATAGCATCAGTTGTTGATCTTCCAGGCATAAATCCCAACTGAGTCTCTCCTATTTCGATTATATCTCTTAATCTTTTTTCTATTATTTTTTCGTGTAGTTTTAGACAGTGTGACATTAGTTTTATGCCCCTCTCATTTTGATCATTGTGTGGATCCCCTTTATTTTTGAAGATAGGAACTAGATAGCTCTGCCTCCGTTTTTGGGGAACCTCTTCATTTCCAAGTATTTTATTGTATAGATTTGTGAGGAAATGTATTCCATCATCTCCTAGTGCTTTAAGGCTTTCTTTTGGAATATCATCTGGTCCCCTAGCTTTGTTGTTTTTCATGTGCTTGAGGCATAAGATTATCTCTTGTTCTGTTATTGGTTGTACAAGGTTTTGACATGGGGAGTGTTCATCTAAATATAGTATGTGGGGATTAAAGTTGAGAAGCTCCTGAAAATATCTTCTATTCATTATTTCTTTTTCCTTTATTATCAATTTCCCATCTTTGTTTTTGATTACTTTCGGAGCTCCGTTTACATCCCTAGAATTCTTTTCTCGCTGTTTGGCTAATCTGTATATTTTATTTTGCCCTTCTTTGGTATGTAGTTCTTCATGCATGTCATCATATGCCATAGATTTGGCCCTAGCCATCGCCTTTGTAGCTATTCTTTTGGATTTTTTGTAATTTGTCTTGTCATCTGGGTTTTTGGATTTGTACCATATTTTATAAAGGGATTTTTTCTCCTATATAGTGGTTTGTACCTCTTCATTCCACCACCATAGTTCTTTGTATGATTTGTTGCCTCCCCTTGTCAAGCCTAGTGTCGATTTGGCAGTGTCTATTAATCTGGATGAAAGGTCTGTCCACATTTTTTCACTTACTTGTGAGGAATCTATTGTTTCAATGTTTACATTGATTGCAAAGGCATCTGTCATTGTTTTTAATTTACCCCATTTGATGCATGGTTCTAGTTTTATCTTGCTTTGAGTGGATTTATTTGTGATGTGTAAATCATTACTAGTAGCTTGTGTTGCGCGGCGATATCTTCTCCTGGGATGACTTTGCAGTTTATTACATCTTTTAATCTTTGCGAGAGATTAGCATTTAATCTTTCTGTGTTTTCCATGTACCACTTTCATATGTTATTAGATGACTGTCTTTTTTCCTATAGAGGTGTTGGTTAAGGCAAGGTCGAAGGCTTGAGCAAATTTCAGTACATGCTCTCCTTCATCATTTCTTTCTCCATATCCAAAACCACCATGATGCCTTTTGTAGCTATCTCTTGCTTTCTCCACATGCGCATTTAAGTCACCACCAATTATGAGTAGGTCATCCTTAGGAATTTCCATTATAGCTTCATCAAGGATAGCTCTAAAGTCATCTTTCTCTTCTTCCTTGCAACCCGTTTGAGGTGCATATACTGAAAGGATGTGTATTATTGATTGACCATTGCAGAGTTTTATCCATTAATCTATCAGAGATCCTGTTGACTTCTACTACTGAGAAGGTTAGATCTTGACATATTGGTAGGTTATACTAAAATATAAGAGTATATAAAAACAATCCTCTACCTAAAAGAAATATAAGTTCAAATTTGTAAAAACAAAAAAATAATCCAATTAAAAACTAGCAAAAATGTAAAAATCAAAACCACAGTTACCTTGCTTTACCCATATATTATAATATGATAAAGCATCCCTGATACTGATAATTCTCCACCACTCTTCGATTTTTGATTTGAAGAAGATCAAATCCTATGTTATATGTGAAAATATTCAAAAAGCGTTAGTGTTATTTATAAGCGTCAAATTTGAGTTTTAAAAAAAAATACTATTTTAATTTGAAATTTTTAAGGTTTTATTTCGTGGGAGTTTTCCAGGTAGCTTTTTTTCCATCGGGTTTTTTCCGAGGGTTTTTTTTCCTATTAACAAAAAAAAAAATAATTAAATCATAATAAGAATGCCCATTGGAGGAGTTCATATTCATACCTCAATTATGCCCATATTTATTTTCATTAATTATAAAAGAAAATAATAATAATAAATATAAATATAAAAAAATTTTAAAGGAGTACTTATCGAAATCGTAAAATTAGAAAATAAAAGTATTATAAATCAACAAAAAAAAATTACATTAAATCAAAAAAAATAAATTACATTAATTCCAAAAAAAAATATTAAAAGATAAAAATTATATTAGTAATAACGATTGTCTCTCGAATAAGATAATCTCTTTAATATCTTTTTTCCTTTATTTGAGTAAATGAATATAATTTATTCAATAATAATTTTATCTTTAATTCAAATTTTAATAATAATATAAGAAATAATGATTTTAATAAAGAATAATTGATCTCATAAACAGATTTTAAAAATCAATCAGCTGTTAAATCGCGATCTCAGTCGCGCCACTATGAATTCAAGGTAAATGGGAAAAAACGGAGCAGATTTTTTAAAACGACTGACTCAAATTTTATCCAGAGAAATGTTACACACAAGCCCGAAGATTTTGATCATAGTTGGCAAAAAAAAGG